AAAAATCACTTTTTCTGCCAACACTGCCGGTATACAAATGGAAGTCAGTTTCCTAACTGAAATAATTTCGGACTTTCTTATCTTATCGGTTTGGTATTTTCAGATGAATTATTCAAAACACAATTGCTCAATCTCATAAGGGGCTGTTCATTAACAACGTAGACAGATTATGGGGGAGGGGTTGACAATTATCCACGGCCCATACAAATTTTAAAAAAAAATTGTATGGACAATTCTCTACGCACGGGGAGGGGGGGCAAGAATATTATACCCTCACCCCCTCACTCATGTCAATGAAAGCAAAGCTTCAAACTGAAATAACTTCGGTGTTTCTCATCTTGTCAAGTTTGTAAAAAAAAAAAAATTACTCAACAAATGTTATATTTCATTGTAACGATTATATTTCAGCTTAAGGGGGAAGTACACTACGATTTTTCAAAAAAATGAATTTTTTTGGCTTAAAATGTTCCTTGGGATGTATACTTTAATTAAGAAAAGACTCCAAGTCCGCCAGAATATTCCTTACCGCTTTACGAAGCGATTTCCTAAAACATGTACCGGCGCGCTGAGAGAGCATTTTTATCTTTAAACGCGTTTATCTCAAAACGGGGTTTTTCAAACTGGTGTGTGAAATAACTCTAACCAGTTATCATCAAATTTGGATATCGCCTAGGTTTTCTTGTGCAGAATTAAATTCTGCTTAGAAATACGTATCCACATTTTCGATTTTGTCAAAAATGGATTTTTAATCCACGATTTTGTAAGCATTTTTAGGGTGAAAAAATGGACTTTTTTTCCTAAGGCCACAACTTTTGAAAAAATTAATTAAAAAAAAAATCGGAATACGTATTTCTAACCCAAATTTTATTACTAATCAGGATTTTTGTTCGATTTATGTTCCAGGATCACATGGAAAGGAGTATTTTCCCACGCCGTTTTCCGACATCCGCGCGAGGACGCCCGCGTGACCTGGTGCACCGGCCACGGGGAGACGCCAATCGAGTTCAAAAAAATACAATTTGTAGTTTGAAGGATGACTAATAAATGGGTTATAACATATTTGACCTCCCTAAGTGTTTTATTGCTTAAAAAAATTAACGAAAATGCCTTACTTTTTGGACGTTCAAAGTGTACTACCCCCTTAATATATCCTACGATTTCTAAGGGTACACTTTTCGACACTGTTCGATCACCTGAAGCAAATATTGCTGTTGAACTGGATCTTGAGCGGATTTCTTGTTGAAGTTGGAGATTGGATTCAACATCGTTGACAACCATCTCGTAGACAACGCAACTAGATGTTTTGCATTGAAATAACCAGAATTGTAAGCGTGATTGTGTATCACCCCAGCAGGCCTGGGTTCAATCCCAGTCGGTGCCGCCGGGATGTTCTGAGCCATAACATCTCTGATCACGCCTTTCTTTGGAAAGGAAGTGAAGCCGTTGGTCCCCAGTTCATGAGTTGATGGATCGATAGGTAGGGTTCATTTTTGACACTAATGCCACAGATGTTGACTTTATTATGTGTAACACTCGAGTTATCAACAAGACATTTCGCGCATAAGTTTGTGTATCCTTTCAAGGAAGAACATTGGTAATAATGTAGATGAATAGGATCAAAGCAATTGATTTTTGGGTATTGATAAATTTCGGATAAACCATCAAGCGGAATACCACAAACGTAACAGTTCTTATGAAAAAAAAAACGTTCTGTTTTCGATACTTCTTCCCTATCCAAATATAACTCAGTTTTTTCAACAATTGTTCGTGCTTCAAAAAATCTAACAAGACGTATGGATTCAGGAAGGTCTATTCAACAAAATCCAAGCATAATATTCAAAGAAAGGAGTCAACATCCATCTTGGCTGAACATAAAAACCAAATTTTAACAAAAATACGTAGTTTTGTCAATTTAAACTTGGCTTTCGGTGTGCTTAAAAAAATAATCATCACATATGAATTCAACAAGGTCAGTTCTATAAAATCTAAGCATAACTTTCAAAGGACTGTATCAAAATCCAACTTAGCAGAAAAGGAAAACAAAAAAAACCTTTTCGAATTACAAACCCGGTTCAACCTTCACGTATAGATTCAGCAAGGTCCATTCTAAAAAATACAAGCCTATTTTTAAAAGTTATGAGCCAAAATGCAATTTGGAAGAACCGAAAAACCAAATTTCTATAAAAATACGGATGGATTCAGCAGTTCGGTCAAATCCATTCCTATTTTTCAAAGGAAGGAGCCGAAATTCAACTTGGCTGAACAAGAAACCCAAATTTCTATAAAAATACGTACTTTTGAGAATTCAAACCCAGTTATCTAAAAAATTGTGCATGCTTCAAAAAATTTACCGTCACGTATGGATTCAGCAAAGTCCATTTTATAAAATTCAAGTCTATTTTCAAATATTGGAGCCGAAATTCAACTTGGCAGAATAGAAAATCAAAGTTTTTATGAAAATACGTACTTTTGTGAATTTAAACTCGGTATTCTCAAAAATTGAAGAAATTCAACCCTCACGTATGGATTCAGCAACTTCTATTAAAATACAAGCATATTTTTCAAAGATAGAAGCCAAAATTCAGTTCGGGATACAGAAAAAATAATTTTCTATAAAAATACCTTCTTTTGTGAATATTAACCAGGTTCGTCCTTCCGGTATTCAGCAAGTTCCATTCTATAAAATCCAAGCACAAATTTCAAAAGATTGAACCGAAATCCAACCTAGCTTTAAAAAAATCTACCATCACGTATGAACTCACAAAGATCTAGTCCATAACATCCAAGGTTGTTTTTCAAAGGACGGAGCCAAAACCCAACGTGGCTGATCAAGAAACCCAAATTTCTATAAAAATGCGTACTTTTGTGGATGTAAACCCAGTTTTCTCAAAAATTGTGCTTGCTTTAAAAAAAATCTACCATCAGGTATGAACACACGAAGGTTCATTCTTTAAAATCTCAGCCTAATTTTCAAAGGATGTGAATCTCACAAAAACGGGGAAGGGATCTAAGGGAGCGGAATCTACGTTAAAAGCTAGTTAAATCACTTCAGGAAAACTCAGACTAACATTCAATATAATTCAATCACTCAACAGAAAAGTTTGGACTTCCTAAGGAAGGTTTTGAACCACTTCAGAAAAGGTTGGAGACCATTTGGAAAATTTAAGCTCAAAAAATTGTCGGTTCACTTCGGAAAAGACTGCAAGATAGTGTCGTTGCCAAACGCCAAAGCAGTTAACAAAAATCTGGAGCTCACTTAGGAAAATATCACACCCGTTCTGACTAGTTTGGTTTCAGTTCGGAAAAAGTTGATTCAATGCAGGAAACCTTGGATTCATTTAGGAAAAGGATTAATCAGCTAATGTTGCCTCACTTCAGAAAATGCGAAACCAATTCATTCAAGATTGGATTTGGAATATGTTGAATCACTTCAGGAAAGTTTTGACAACTTTAAAAAGGATTGAATAACATAACAGAAAAGTTTAGACTCAGTTAGAAAAATATTGATGACTTATTCGAAAGTTTGAACTCACTTCAAAGAAGTTCAGACTCAGTTTTGAATCTGCTTTGAAAAGTGTCACCTCAGTTAGGAATTTCCTGAATCGTTTCTGATTTGGTCTCACTTCTAAAAATTTTATACCAATTTTGAAAAGATTGGATTTAGCTCGGAAATTATTGAATCACTGTAGAAAAGAAGTGAATCATTAAGTATCATTGCAGAAGGTTTGTAAGTTAAGACATGTAGATCGAATGCAAAAATCTGGCGACTACGGTGGGCTGGGCACATCGTAATAATGTCGGATAACGAACCACTGAAAATGGTTCTTTGTAGTGATCCGACTGGGACAAGACGAAGATGTGCGCAACGAACAAGAGGGATTGATCAGATTGAAGGTGGCTGGCTTACCTAGTGAGTTGCCAAACAAGATGTTCTATAAAATCCGTTTTCAACAACTGAAACCGGATGATCCGATTTCAAGGACCTGTTATGCCGTATTGGTCAAGTACCAATTTATGTGAAAATTATTTAAAAGAACAAGGTGATACAACAACAACAACAACAACAACAACAACATAATAAAATCTAGCAAAGCGAGTATCCATACCTAAATGAATTTGCGAAAAATAAATATACACTGAAAGTTTTATTTTATTTCCCCCTTGGTGATATTCCAAAATTTTAAAGGGGGGGGGGGATGACAAAAGAAAAATTTGATATTTGTTCCGGCCTAAAGTGTTGGCAGGAAAAGTGATTTTTGGCATTTAATTCGAAACTTTGATCTTTGAACAGCTATAACTTGTTTTAGAGACATTCTAGCACAAATCTTTGTTGGGCAAAGTTGACTATACTTCTATTTGATTAGTTGCATCGTTCAAACAAAATTGTGGTCTCTAGGAATGAATATGCAAAAAGTAGGGTTTCTCATACTAATTTTCATACAAATTTCAAACGCAATGCGGAACGCCGTGTTACAACCAATTGTCCCCAAATTTCGCACAGTTGTTTGGGACCCCAAATGGAACCAAAAAAGCATTGTTCTGAAAAAAAATGATCAAGATGACCCATCCTAATGAATAGCATCAACACATAGAAAAAGTGGTCAAGTATCAAGATATGGAGAGTTGACTGTATTTTAATGACACGAATTGGAAAACTATAGCCTTTCCGCCAAACAAACGTGACGAAAAATTTTCGAATTAATTATTTGGATGATAGTTATGGATATTTTTGGTCGCTATTGAAAATTTAGTCGATTGTAAAATTTATGTATGGGTCCAAATTAGGAGCATTTAGGCCGACATTACATCCATTTCCCCTACATTCACATTTCACAGCAGTTTCTCACATTACACCAATGAGTGCCAAGTTAACTAACGTTTTCCGCTTCCGTTCAGCTGATGAACTACAAGGTCAATTGAACAAGATTTCAACAAGACGAGCTATGTTTAATTGTTATAATTAATTCCCTCCCAACCGATATAAACGATAAACCACTTACGTAGCGCACTGTTCACTGAATTGATTAGAACCGCTATCGTTATCACACCAATAACGATGACCGATGAATGGCACTGACGCATTTTGAAGCCCTCCGCTTTCCGCAACTTTTCACTGTGCACTGGATCTTACGTGATCTACTTAATATATTCTAACTATCACAAACACTTTCTCCGAGTCAATCCAAGTAACCAAAGCGTAGTTGTCACTTTCTGTTATCCTCGCCTACTATGATCGGGTTGGTGTTGTATCCTTGATGTCTCAGGAGGTCACCGGCCACGTTTTCCACATAAGCCCTGTGAGTACTGATCCCTGCACTGTTTGCTGTTAACGGCTGCGTTGCCAACTGAACCCAATCGAGCCCGATGCTGAACTATTTATAGTTGGAATTTTATAGTTGTTCTTCCGAGGGCAGGTCTCCTCTCCCGTCTTAGTGTAATTGTTTTTGCTTTTGATATGAAAGATTGTAATACACAATAAAACATCCCCCTCCGAATAAGCTTTAACACTTGCGCGCTCGCGAACACCCGGCCGCAACGCGAGGGGAATCTTTCGCAGCTTTGCGCGCTTTTTCTCCCATGTTTTGCATTATCTTCTATTTTTGTTTTACCGGTAAGCTGCTGACACCGGCTAAACAAGACTCCGATGGGAGCATGGGGCGGAATAGTAATTTCCATTAATTAGACATCCGCATAGCATTTCCCAATACACACAGATTGATGGAATGATTTAAAATTCTCATATTGATCCGCTGTAGTTTTTTTTTATCAGAGTCCATTCTCCCCTTTGTCAAGAACTCGGAAATGGTTGTTGAAGCTCTGCAATGAAAATAGCAAGCCTTGCACAGAGCAAGCAAAAGTACCTTAGTAGGCACGTAGAAGCCACAGAAATTCTACTCCTTTCCTGGTTGCGTGCTCTCATCGACGACGACGACGCAGAAGACGGTAGTGGCTAACCGCAACGTGACATGTCACAACGTAACACAATGTCTGAAGATTGAAATCGGAAGCACATACAGCTTGGGGATGCGTCAATCTGCATCAAAATAATAGGAAGATGCACACACCTGATCAATTACTATGCAAAACTTCTCAGCTGACAGTAGTGAATAGTGACAGGTTATTACATTCAGCTGGGGTAAGCATGAAAACGAAGATTGCCATGTTCTGATGACAGCCGTGGTAGGTTTTCTTTTCGAATTATTTTTTTTGTCGACTGAATTGATCAACCGCAGACCAGAAGGCACGTGAGTGGAATATAATGGTTTTAAAATATGTGATCTCTCAATCCATCCGCTGCATGCGCCAAACCGGATTTGTGAACTTAGCACGTGGAATATGTACTTGTACTTTATGAAATGATTTTTAAAAAGCTTCGATGAATCATCATACTGACAACACAAACACTTCAATCCTGCTGTATTTGTAAGGCAAATTTAAACCAATTATATAATTTGATAAACTCTAAATGTTGAGATATAGTTGCTAATATAGATAATATCAAAAATTTCAAGAAAAATGTAATGTGTGGACTTAAATAGATCCCTACACCTTGCTAGGAATATTTTATCATTATTTGCAATTCTATCCCACAATTAAATTTACATTCAATAGAGAATTTTCACTTTTGATTGACTAGCCGCCGCTAATCCTCTCCAATGATCACCATAGATGGGGCGTCATAAAATCATAAAATGACGTGAACGCCTACTAAGATTTCACTTGCATATGTTTGCCGGCGTAACAAAAAGCAAGTAACAATCCTGCCTGACCTACTTTGCATCACATATCAAGTTCAGTTTACTGGCTATTGAACGCAAATTGATCAGTTGATGGAGGAACGATAAAATCAAGTTCACACTTTTTTTTCTGCTGGACGTTTGTTAGTAGAAATGAAAGGCCTTGGAGTACGTTTGATAATCGTAATTGGCAAGTTATCAAAGTTAAAAAAATTCCAAATGTACGGATTTTAATTGATTTCTTAGGTGTGCGGATTTCGGTTTCCCACGGTAATCGAAGAGGTTACCCGATCAGGCTATAACTTTCCGTGTGAGATGGAACCTTCTAACTATTTGAAGGTAACTGAATGCTGGGGAAATACTCCTCTATAGAGCAGGCAGTTCATCAATGTTTCACTCGTAATGGCAACCACTTGTAAATGATAGACCGGGTATTTGCCAATGATTCAACATTCGCGATTCCCCGAGAATATCTTAAAATTCCCGGGAAAGCAGCATTTCCCGATACAGTTTGATTTTTAACCAGTAATTGATCTGAGACAATGGTAATCCCATGAATCAATAATGTGAATTTAGCTTAGAAAGAGTATTACATAAACTAATGCCTACGGTGAAGTATAACCGGTCGGGTAAGTGAATTAGGACTCAAAATTGATACTTTTCATTGCTAATAGCGAATTGCTTTGAATCAGTTCGATGCACATGTACAATTACAACAGTTTCTGCGTACGCAAGCGACGATGTATGCAAATTTAGATGACTCAACAAAACTTCAGCGCCACACGCGTCACTTTCATTCTTGTTGGAGTCCTCACCAAAAACAAAGACCGATAAATGGACGAAGGAAATACAACTACATTGCCGGACCAAGCGGTTCCCATCGACTCATTAATTGATTTACTTAAATTCACGGATGATTGAACCATATCGTACTTTTCGAACTGGATATCATGGAAATTAAGTGACCGTGAGTTGTGCAAAAAATCCTGCCACGTGTATGGATTTAAAATGTTCTACAAAACTGTGTAATTTGCTATCAACTGTGGATTGATCATTCCTCAAAAAACTATAAATTAATGTGGGCACCACTTCATGCGGGAGTAATTAACCATACCAATTAAGTGTTTTATTGGTTTCTTGAATATTGCACATCAGTAAGTGTGGCAAAATCTCGATGACTATTATACTGCACTTACCCGAGCTCATTGAACGACGACGGTGGCCACGAAGGTAGCGATAGAGTTCAAGGCGGTGGCCATTTAAATTGTTCATTGAATCTTGTCCTGAAGAGCAACTTTGCAAAACAAGTAGTAGCATTCTTTCCATAACGTGAAAGCAAATTCTTGAAGTGCGTCATAGCAGCTTTAGTTCGAAACAGTTTCCGTACGCGTGTGTACTTACCTGCCTACTTCATGTATACTGCGGTTACATAAATCAAAAGCGTGCAATTTTCCCTCAATAGAATATTCATTTGGCTCCACCGACATTCTTAGTAGGCTGTGCTCGGTCATGCGTGAATGTGTCGAGTATCTACCTAACTACCTACCCGATTCGATGGGATCAAAGTAGCACACATGCGTTTGAATTAGATCACCGCCTGCCTAGAGCAGGAGTGTTATCGCAACATCGGACGCATTTTCCCCCCGGTTGCTGTTGTCCAGAATAATTGGGGTTCGTTAATCATACAGAGTGGACGGTAGGGCGGCAATAATAGCAGTATGTAATATAACTAACAGATTTCAAGCTAGACAACTGATGTAGCGATTCCAGCTGATTGATCATTGATAAATGTGAAGCACCGCGTGAAAGGAAAATTTCCAAGGAATATAAAAAAAAACGGAAACGGAGTTGCATTCCGATTGTTGGAAGCGGTTAAGCACATTTATATTTTATGGGAGTGCAAGGAAAAATAATAGAACGCTTCAACAGCTAGAAATGTCAGGTTTTTTTTATTTGAAAAGTTTAACCTCTCTGCTCACAATACAAATGTGCCTTCAAATGTTTCCACCACTTAGGCCGGGAAAATGAATTACTTTTTCCACACAACATTCGAATCTGGCGAGGGGACAAGGGGATAGTAAAAAATAAAATTGATTTTTTTTTTTTAATTTATTATAGTCACTTTAACGCTCTTGGGTCATTCGTGACTTAATAATTGAAAAATTATAAAACGCGAAATTTATTTCAAAAAATACTTTGCTGCGATGAGTTGTCATGCGAGCGGGATGAAAACAATAGATCGAAATAGACAAAAGGATAAACAGAGATGTTCAGGATATCTTGCAAAAATATTGATAGGGATGCAAAGGAATAGAAAAGGAATGAATGGTATAAAAATAAGATTTTCTGGATTTTTCATGGATGAGGATACGTATGCTAAATTTGTGGATAAATTAGATGGGGAAGACGATGTGTCGTTCCTCCTGGTTTAAACAATGTTATCGTACATTCCAGCGTCTGTCTGGGTCGCACAGTGGGACGAAATCAACAAAAAATATCCGACGAAACTATTGAGCATTTTGATGTCTTCAAAAATGTTTCTTCATTTTTTGAGTACTTTATTTGAGCAGTCTTGTTGAAATTGATGAACATCTTCGGAATCATTGTCAATGTTTCCAATCTCCTCCTTTTAGTAGATAGGCTGGAAACCTAGGTCCGGTCACGACACTCCTCAACTTCTTGAAGATCAGGAGCCGGTTTTTGAATCGGGTGGCTTACAGTGGGAAAAAGTAAGTGGCGCTCTAGCAATGCTTGGTAACAAATCAAGATTTCAGAAAGAGATTATAGCGCTTGCTCCATACGCCACAGGTGTTCGATATGTCCTTGTCATTAAGAGCAAGACTCTGTCGGAACTAAAGGGTGATACGGTCAAAATTTGGTCAAGGAAAAACGCGTGTAAATCGGTGAAATCGTTTATTTAAAAAATCAAATTAAATTTCTTTTTCAAGTTCAATTAGTACAAAATTCAGGAAAAATATTCAGTTAGGCTTCCGCTTTTCCAAATCCGAATTGCCGGGCCTTACGCTTGACCCCTGCCATCAGATTTTGTACAGCCACCTTGTCCACCTTCTTCGCCGCAGAAAGCCAGTTTGCCTTGAACTACTGCTCGCCCTTAGCAGTTTTTTTGGTCTTCTTTAGGTTCCGCTTGACAATAGCCCAGTATTTCTCAATTGGGCGGAGCTCTGGCGTGTTGGGAGGGTTCTTGTCCTTGGGAACCACCTGCACGTTGTTGGCGGCGTACCACTCCATGGCCTTTTTACCGTAATGGCAAGATGCCAAATCCGGCCAAAACAGTACGGAACAACCGTGTTTCTTCAGGAAAGGCAGCAGACGTTTATTCAAACACTCTTTCACGTAAATTTCTTGGTTGACAGTCCCGGAAGCTATGAAAATGCTGCTTTTCAAGCCACAGGTACAGATGGCTTGCCAAACCAGATATTTCTTTGCGAACTTTGACAGTTTCATGTGCTTGAAAACATCTGCTACCTTTCCCCTTCCTTTTGCCGTATAAAACTCCTGTCCCGGAAGCTGCTTGTAGTCGGCTTTGACGTAGGTTTCGTCGTCCATTACCACGCAGTCAAACTTCGTCAGCATCGTCGTGTACAGGCCGTCGTATTTTGTTTATCATCGCG